CCATCTTACTTTAGTTTGTTAGCATGAGCACTAAACACAAAGTACAGCTGAGGTTGACGGGAAAGTCATTGCATTGCTGACTGAGGAGGAAGTATTCAGAGCCTTTATTTAAGTGAAAGTACCGATACCACACTGTAAAAATACTCTGTTACAAGTGTTAGTGCTGCACTGAAAATGTTACTGAATGTTCATATTGGAGGAATAAGAAACATTTACAGTATGAAGGTTAACAGATGAAGGATTTCTTGGGTTTTTGTGCTTGCTGATTGTCTTCAGGTGAGAGGAGGCACACACAGGTAACACGGTTTTATTGATGAGATCCACTGCAGAAGGTAAAACCACTAAAGACCTGAACACTGAACTCTGTATTAAAAAGTAATTAAAAGTAATTAAAGGGCCACTTCACCCAAAAGAGGAGAAACTTTCATCAGTGAATCTTTATTTTACAGGTCAGTCATTTTCCAATAATTTGGTTTCAGTGGATTAAACTTAATTTAATTAATTTAATTTAATTTCAAGTGTGAGAGAAGTAGAAAAATGAAGTAATCTAATGTATAAATACTCTATTACAAGTGAAAATAATACTGCAGTCTAAGTATGAAAAATAAAAGCACACATAGTTCTTTTTATTGACTTTTATTTTGAAACTCGGCCGGTAGGGGACCGCCAGAGACCAGGAACTGCTTCAGTTTGGCACCTCTGATTGGCTAACCCTAACTCACCTGACCAATCAAATCACCGGAGGCAACCAACACTAGCCAATCAGAGGCAGCGGAGGGCGGGTCTTATGCTCGTGGGAAATAACGCATCGGGTCAACGATTGATCAGATTATTGGTATTTTATCTAATAAATGATAAAGTGACATTTCACTCCGCGGGTGTTTTTGTGTTTGGGCTTTAAGGTGAGACAATGATTACATGAATACATCAAACATTACAGCAGAGGAGGTTTAAACGGCTCGGATACACATTCACAGCAGATCGATTGATGACAAATGTCTCGATAGATCGATGAGTGCTTTAAATGCAGATAAATGAATATGAAATAATAATAATAATAATGTGTTATTTGTTGTCCTCGCCGCTGTTCTAATAGTAAGGGAGCCTGGAGGGACAATTGAGTGAGATTCAACTCCTCGGTTTAGAGATGGAGGTATTTTAGTGTGGTGTGTGTTACAGCAAATCATTTAATCAATCAGATAATAATGTTTGACCTTTTTCACAGCAGCCATTGTGACGTGTAATAGTAGGGTAAACACCGGTGTTAGTGGTGGTAATAATTAAGGCTCCGTTCAGGTCAGGGTGCTGTTACTGTGCGTGTTGATTCACTTTAATTAGTATCCTTGGTTAAACCTGTGTTTACCCTACTATTACATGTCACAATGGCTGCTGTGAAAAAGGATTATTATTATTGAGTTTAGATTCATTTGTCTGTTGATTGTTTCCTTGTTTATACAGTTAGAGGAGACGCAGAGTTACAAAACTGAGACTATAATACACAAAAACACTGTTAAACACTTTGTGTACATTTAAGAACATTTACTCTAAACTATTCTATATTAAACTATACACAAAAAAGTGTTTGTTTGTTTGTTTGTTTGTTGCACATTGTTCTCCTGTGTTTTTATAGGGTGGAGGTCTATCGCAGTGCAGACCAGCCTCTTTTCTACAGGTGGGTCCTTTATTTTAAATACTTTTATTACTGTTATTTTGTATTTGCTGTTGAGGATGCATCTCTACTTATTGTGATAAACAAACAAACTAATAAAACATCTGTCTCCTTTTGTATTTTCTGTCCTGTAACAGCATTAATCTCAATGTCATTTACAGATTTGGAGACGTACCTGAGGAGCTGCTCTCTCTCTCTCTCTCTCCCTCTCTCGACAGATTCACCTTAATGCCTCGAGGTACGCCCTTTGTGTCATAAACTGACTCTTCCTTCCCTGTCACAATGCGTCGCCACAAATCAAACCTCAAGAAGCGAAGGAAAAAGGACGCAGAGAGAAAGAGAATAGCTCGCATGACAGAGACGCCACAACAAACCGAGCTCCGTCAGGCCCTCGATAGAAAAAGGAAACGCCAACAAATAGCAAACGAGACGCCGGAAGCTGCAAAGCGTCGCAGAGACTTTAACAAGGAGGCCATGGCGAGGCACAGAGCCCGAGAAACACCAGAGGCTGCAGAACATCGCCGACACGTGAACAAACTAGCCAAGGCACGCCACAGAGTGCAGCAAACGCCAGAGGATGCAGAACGCCGTCGAGCCTCGCACAGACAAGCCAAGGCACGGCGGAGAGCACGAGAAACCCCAGAGGCTGCAGAACGTCGCAGACTCTCAAACAAAGCAGCCATGGCACGGCGCAGAGCACGACAGAAAGCAGAGGTTTGTCTCCACATAGGCGGTCTACTCTGGTTACACCTTGATAATGTAACCTGCATACTGTTACTTCATCCCACTGCTCTCAGGTAGGACTGTGTGTTGGCAAGAATCTGGTGAGATGATGCTGCAATACTCGACATGGTGACAGACAGTCTAAAGAACTCAGATCTAAAGATCCCAGTTTTAGTTCTCTAAGGGAGAAGTGGAACAAGCTGATCAGAAATCTAACTGGGGGCGAGGTCATGAAGTGGCTTCTATGTAATCAATAAGATCTTTATTCTGAATTTTACAGGAAGCCAGCAGATTGATACGAGAACAGGGTTAATGTGGGCCCAGTTTATAACCTGGTAGCTGCATTGACCCAACTGTGAACGATCGAGAGCAGCATGACTGAGACACGAGTAGAGGAAATTACAATAATCTGGATGAGAGAAAAAAGAAGTGTAGTTCAAGATTTGTAGAAGACAAGAAGCATCAGATTTTTGCGATATTTCTTAGCTGAAGAAAACCGAACTGGACGAGCTTAGCAACACGATTCTCAAAAGTTAAATACTGGTCAAAGATGATACCAAGATTCTTAGTGTAGTAAGACATTAAGAGACATCTAGTCTTTGGTCATTAAGGGAGGACTGTTGATTCAGGTTTTGGGGTTTTAGCTGAGAAATATATCTGTGTATCATCGGCATAACAGTGATATGACACATCTTGAAAGCGCCTGAACAATCAGAGGAAGCATGTACAGCGAGAAGAGGATAGGTCCAAGGACAGAGCCCTGAGGGACTCCACACAGCAGGGGAGCTGTTTGTTGATGATGATGATAAAATGATATATTTATAGGGTATATGATTTGATTTCAGTGGTTAAAGTCTCGTATATCTGGTCTCTTATATGGGTGACTGAAGTTTATAGTTTACTCCCTGTTTTTTAACCACTACAGCTCTGGATGGACCAGATAACTGTGGTGAGAATAGATGACACACACATTGCAGAGGAGCAGGTTAAAGATGACGCTGCAGAGTACTACGAGGAGGAGTACTCGATTCCTGCGGAGGAGGAGGAGGAGGAAGAGGAAGACGGTGTTTATGTCATTGAGTATTCAAATCCTGAAGAGGAGGAAGAGAGCTACCTGTTCACAGTGTCTGCGGCCAAAAAGCCAGTAACCACTCATCCTGTGGTCGGAGTGAACGCCAGAGCTCCTCTACCTGCGATGTCCAAACCGTCCAGGCCAACGAGACACGAGCCAGAAGAGGAAGCTGGTAAATGAAGAGGAGGTGAGGAAGGAGGAGGTTGTGAGCCTTAAATCTGTGTTGGAGCTTGGAGAGAACTACAGCGACGTGATGGAAGTGAATTCAGGCTCTGGTTCGGCCGTACATCTAAAACAACCAGGACGCTGTTTTACAGGGGCCACAACCCGCGGAGACTCCAGAAAGTCACTGCACCCAAAAAATAGTCCTGCACAGAAACCCCTGAAACCCATCAGTACAGATTAAACAAACAAGATACTGCATGGTAACTCGTGAGCTTCAGATTCAGCCTGTCCTCCCTGTAGACAGGAAGAGGCTCGCTGCTTCCAGTCTTCATGCTGTGATAACTTCAGATATGTGAGTGGTGCATTCATCTCATTTAACTCTCTAAAGTGCTCAAACTACGGTACGAGTACCACTGGTGGTGCATGAGCTGCCTGTAGAGAATAAAATAACTGAAATATATAATACTATTAAAATACAACATGTCTAATAAATGTGGTTTAACCTGCTACGTAGTCGCGTTCATGCATGTAGCGCACGCATACATCCGTGATTAGTTACAAGCTAAAATGTGATGATGAGACAGTAAGCGGAGGTAAAGTTAACGGTTCAGAAACACTGCAGTCGTGGATCTAAACAGGAACTATTGGGAAGGGAAGTGTGGACCAGGAGGACCCCCTTTCCACCATTCAGGATTCAGTCTACATAAATCTTTATCTGGAATAAAGCTGCCTCCTCGTGAACTGTCTGGGAACCTTTTCTATCATTTAATAAACTGACTCAGTGACATATTTAATGTATATTTCATATTATATTAAAAACTGTACAATGAACCCAAACAGTGAACTGTTTGAACTGCAGGAAGTCAGTGTAAAACCAGAGCTTTGCATGAATGTTTGAGCACATTATTTCCTATTTAGGGAACTTTTTATACAATTCTGTCTGTATTCTGTATTTTTATTATTTTTAACAATCTTACGGACTTAATAGGCTTCTTGTTTGACAAATTCAGTGTTTTCTTCTCCTGTTAACCTCTCAGCCCTCCACAGTGCTAATCCTTGACTGCACAGCTGCAGAGAGGAAATAAAATGATGATCCCAGTATGAATATTAAGTGTTAACAGCCTCCGTAGTTGTTTGATATAAAAATGCAGGTGGTGAAAAACAGAAACAGAAGGCCAATGTCACTATTTTTCATATTTTACTGCTAAGTTTTTTGTTTTATTGCTGTAACAAATTGTCTTTATTTAACATTATTTAAAACATTATTAAAGGGAAACGCCACAGATTTCTCTCCAGTCAGTTAAGTTTCTTATTTTATTAAATCTAAAAACTGAAATGTGTCTTCAGTTCTGGAAATCAAACACTGTTCATATAATATATAAATACTGAGCTCAAGGTCCTGTTCTTTTTACTGGTTTGGTTATAAAAGTCAATCAGAGTCAATCACACGTTTATTAGCTGATTATCCTTTTTATTTTAATAGAAAGTCCAACTCTCACTGCAGGTACAAAAACAGAGAGCTGGCGTAGCAGCAGGGCTGAATGCGTCTAAAAGAGGAGGAGGAGGAGGAGGAGGAGGAGGAAGATGGAGAGAAGAAGAAGAAAGCTATACCCCTGTTCATAATTACAGAAAAAAATCATTCCTTTTACATTCCTTTATCCCAGAGCTGTACATCGACAGATGAGGCGAAGATCAACATTTATATATTTCGTATTATTTATAAAACAAAGAGAATCTCTAAGTTCAGTCTCAGAGCAGGAGAGTTTTATCCCTTTATGTTGACGGACATTCAGAAGAGCACAGGGAGGAAGCAGTTTTAATCATTCACATAAACATTTACAGTATGAAGGTTAACAGATGAAGGATTTCTTGGGTTTTTTGTGCTTGCTGATTGTCTTCAGGTGAGAGGAGGCACACACAGGTACACGGTTTTATTGATGAGATCCACTGCAGAAGGTAAAACCACTAAAGACCTGAACATTGAACTCTGGGATCAGGGCTTTGT